TGGAGTTAAACCACGACACCGGGTTTGGAGGCAGCATACTGCCCATGGGGAGAGACTCTGTTCATCCTCTCACTACAAGATCCAGAAGCTTTTTCTCTTTCTTTGGTGATACCTTCCTAATTATGAAGCTGAAGCCTGGTGACATTACAGAACTAGGGAAGGACTCATTTCTGACCATGTCTGCTAGGCATGATCATGTTCTGTGTGCTTTGCTTGCAGAAGCACCCTTACGCTCTGTTTTAGTAAAGAGAGCAAATTAAGTGAAATTCAGATATGAGGTAGAAGTCAAATGACTTTTTTTTTATATATATAGTTCAAATCCATCCCTGGTAAGTTTCTACTGACTCCGCACTTCTTTTTTTTGATTGCTTATATATTCTTTTTTTTTATTTGCAGTTTGAGTTTCATCGTGTCCCAGTTCTGCTCTGTTCAGGTTTAGTGGTTGATTAACCTGTTTATTGTTTCTCAGCAGATTGAACAAATGGGGTCTGTGTGAGGAGGAAGTCAGTGGCAGTCAGCACAGATTTTGATGGAGCAGGGGTAGTATTGGATGAATTTTGGTGGCTTCTGTGATTTGCTTCCTTATCCAATTTATTTCTTAAGACCTCTCCTTTGTCATCTCCACTGCGGCCATGTGACTGGCAGTGCAATTCTCCTTTCCCCTCCTCCCATCCTGAGTGTTTGCTGTTCTTCCCAGCTCTGCGTTTTGTGGTTCCCAGTTTGGTGGCCCTTCGGTAGGAATAAAGAAAAACCTGAGAAACCGTCTGCCCCAGAGGGATAGCAACTGCAAAAAAGTGAAATTAAAACACAAAAAACTCTCACTACTCCACCCCTGGTTGTGCACCGGTCAGTGAGTGGTGAGAAATAGTATCATATTGTATCATATGTTTTATTTTTCTATTATTTTAATTATTTATTATTAGTAGTAGTTGTATATATTAATTTAGATTTAATTAGTAAATAGTTCTTATCTCAGTTTTACAAGCTTCCATATTTCTTTTTCCTCCAATTTGTCCCCTCCACTGGAGGAGGGGAGGGGGATTTGTGAGAGCGGCTTCATGGTATTTTGCTAGCTGGAGTTAAACCACGACAAAAACCAACTGTATTTTATCTATTATTTAATGTGTCAATACACACAAATAAATTTTAGGTAGGTTACGTCAAGGTGTCGAGGTGTGTGTAGAACTACAGATGGGATTGTTTGGGTTTGGATAGATCGGTTGGTTTGAGATCAAGTAGTGCGGTTTTTTTTATGCCAACTGCTTATAAAGTTTTTCCTTTTAACCTCAGACTTTGAGGGGAAGATTGTTTTGTACTGTCTGTAATTCCTTTATTTTTACATTTTGTTCTACCCATTTCTGCATGTCCCTCACAAAATCGCTTGCTTCCATCTTTGCTGTTTAATTGTTAAAAATCTAATTTCAGGAAAGTCTGAAGCTCTGGAGTCATGGCTACAGCTGACATGAAACCAAAATCTATACATCATGCCAAAACATGGTCAGAAGAGGTAGAGAACTTATACAGATTTCAGCAAGCTGGATACAGAGATGAAGTGGAATACAAACAAGTCAAACAAGTTGACACGGTAAGATTTAGAACTCTGCAAGAGTTATTGCTTTAAACTTCTGTCTCATGTTTAACGATTAAATAAAAGTGTAGGTGCCCCTATTTCCTCTCATGTAGGCTAGTTTCTGATACAGATTTTTTCTTCCAGCTCTGACTTGAATTCTTGGGCTATTAAGTGAGCAGAGTAACTTATTTCACAGAAGCAAACCAGAAACACTACCCAGCCTATGTTTTTGTTCCCACTCTCTTATGCATTTAGAATTATTCTAGATTCTTTTGAACAGATGTAGCTGCCACCTAAAAGGATAATTTGGTTTTGAGGAAAGGAATTTGTCAAAGTTAGTACTTTGTGAAGTTTCCCCATTATTCTGCCAATAGACCTGGTAGGAAAGTCCTTTCGTGGTCCAGGCAGCCAGTCCTGTGTCATCGCTACCGACTTCAGTTTTGGGGTTGTGCGGTAGCATAGCCAGATCTCCTGCATGCTCAGAACTTGGCTTCTGTTGAAACTGTCCACCATAGAAATATTTGATGCCAACTGCAGTGAAAAGAGCGATGACAGGGGCATTTGTCAACTGAGAACAGCAAGGGCTTGGTCCTCTGCTCACTACAGCTGATGGCAACGCTCCCTAGCACATCGACTGAGCTAATGAATAATGGCCGGATATTCAGTGGCTACTTGGGATTCAGAATGGCAACCAGGACATTAACACAGCAAACAACATATTAGAGCTCTGTAATTTATCTTCTAAAGCAGCATACGTCGTATGAAAACCTCACTATTCAAAGATTTTATCCTCCTGTGCACGTAAGTGCGGAGTGTTCCTAAGAAAGTCACTGCTCATTCAGTTAACCCAGAATTTAGCAAAACATTGATGTGCATAATAAGGTGCAGTTTATTCTGTTGTCGTGGGCTCAGGTAACACTGTAAAGGCTGTGGTGTAAATTCCTTTAACTGTGCAGAAGGAAATCCTGTAATGAGTGCGGTAGGAACAGTCTATTTAAGATTTGTGTCAGGGCATAACCAAAACAATTAAACCCTGGTAAAGAACACCACTTACTCCGTGTAAAATGAGTAGATTCTGTTCAAACTTGCCAGGGTCTGGCAGGGCTTCGCTTTCAATTTACACATTTTGAAATGTCTTGTTTAGTCCATACTGTGTTTCCATAATGCAGTTGCTATTAATGAGGCAATTATAGGTAGAATGAATATTAAGGCTCTTCTGTTTAGACAGAGAATGCAAATTACTCAGCTGTATGACTGAGGTAATGACAAAACTACCACTGCTGTGACTCTCCAACTGGAGAACGCTGTAGTTTGACCTCCTATTGTCAGCCCTGCCTGGAAGAGAAGTAAAGTTCCTACTACCTGATTTTTAAGGTTCAGTGTGATCAGAAGTAGGCACAGGTGTTCAAGCTGCAGACAGCTACTAAAGCCATAAAGCTGTTGAACGTACAAGTGCTCAAGCCTTTAGTTTAAGGTTGCGCGTTGTGGAACACCAGGGTGGTGCTGGTGTCCCGCAGGAACGGTCCTGCTGTATTTGAGACTGTGATACATGTAGCTCACTTTATTTTTATGCAATTGCTAATGAAAAGCATGATGTACACGTTCTTCATGGTCAGAAGGATCCTGAAGAAAGTGTGTCTCAGCAGAAGTGGAATCGTTTAGCTTCCCAGAGTAACGAATAGCATTGAGTTTTTTTGCTAAACAATGTATTTTAAAAGCTTTGACTAGTTGTGCTCTGGTAGGGATAGAGTTAATTTTCTTCACAGTGGCTGGTATGAGGTACTTGGTTGCTTAATGGGGCCAAACCACGACACTAGTCCACTTTTTAAATGACTCTGGTCTATCAAATGTTCTTAGATTCTTATTTCTAGACCTTTCTGATCACAAAATTCTTTATGCTAGACCAGAAAACTGGTTTCTGACATCTTGCTCCTAATCTTTTTGTAAAAACTAAGGAAATTAATAGCAGTGTTCAGGTGCAAATGAGGTTTCCATGGAAGTACACCCTATATTCTTTCTGATCTAATGCACAAGCATCATCCAATGTGAGCATCTTCGGCTGAATGTATGTCCTTCTTATTCTGTTCATAGGTAGAGTGTTGGCCAGAAACTGGATTTGTTAAGAAACTTCAGAGAAGGGATAACACATTCTATTATTATGATAAACAAAGAGAATGCGAAGACAAAGAAGTCCATAAAGTGAAAGTTTATGTCTATTAGCATTGTTATTCTAATTAGTTTGTATTTTTTATAAATCTGTTTGTTGCAATCTGTAAGTAAATGAGATTTGTGTAATCTGACTTACCTTAAGAACCGATGTCATTCTTGGATAGAAAATTTGGAATACAGGAAATGTGGAGAAGCCTGGAACTGTAGACATAGGAGTTTCATTTATTTTTCCTGCTATAACTGAAAATCTTATTATCTCTCATTTTCCTAATTACAAGTGTTTTGACATCAAAAAGATTAAAGGTTGGCAAATGGGCATCATCTGTGTGGTTTAACTGTGTGCAAAGTCCATTGTAAGCAGAGCCATCGCTGTTCAAACCAAAACAGTCTTGTTGGCACGGGCTAATGTCAGCCACAGCCTCCTGGCACAGCTCAAGGGTGAGACTGCAAAGGGCCAAAGTAAGGCCAAAAGGCTAAAGTTCCCTGGGAGAATAGCAAGAGTCAAAACGAGCGTAGAAGCAATATTAAAAAGATCTCTTTGGCAACAGGTGGCGACGATCTAGTCAACTTCCTTAGATTACCTGAAAATTAAATTTGCATGAGCTCTGTTAGGGAAATGCCTGGGAAGTGCTCGGAAGCAACTGTGAAGGTTTTTTATTCCAGGAAGATTTTAATGGCGTGTAAACGGAGTTACAGCAGTGACAGAAATTAAGCATCGCTACCGTAAGTTCCACCTGAGATTTTCATTGTGATTTCTTTTTTATTTGGATTGCTCTGGAGGTACCTTTTTAATAGAGGACTGTGCAAATAGTGGGAACAGAACAATTATCAGGATAATCCATTTGTTTTGTCACTTTAAGATAGTGGAGCTCACTTTGTTAAGTTCATGGATTCCTAAAAAAAGAAATTTTCCCGTGGGCATGCAAAGAGCCTTAAAAAAAGTGACAAAAATAGATATGTTCCGTAGCCAACTCACATTTATTGGCAGAAATTGTTGCTGTCAGCACACACAGAATAAGTGAGAATGTTTGCTACAGCCATTTTCTCAGCCTATACCTGGGTATTCAAGAAGAGGAATTAAAACTGCAGGTAACTTCTAAGAGCTTCACTTTTTTTTTAAAAGACTTTTAAAAATTGAAACAAATGTAAAAGTTTATTCTGGTCTTCCCTCGTTTTACCTGTCTGCACCTCAATGCTTCTGCAGTACGGGCGGGTGCTTTCTCTCTCGTGTTATGTTTTAAAACAGTGAGTCGGCATTTCGCGCAGCCCGTGGAGATTTCGTTACGGACAAGTAGCCTGGGAATTCACATTCCAGTTCTGAAATGCTGATTTGGTATGAGTTGGCAGATTCTTCTCACGCTGAGACAGTGAATTACCCGGATTTTTTTACTTACATTTTGCAGCCTTGTCGGTGTGCTAAAAGGTTGAATCTCACTGTAATATTTAAAAGATTAATGGGACAAAATGGAGAGAAAAGCCTTGTAATTAGTGCTGGAGACCCGTTTACAGACATAGCCTTTGCCAGCCCCAGCCCTGTACTGGGGAGTAAACGCCCTTCGCTGGCAAAAAAGCAGGTTTTGTACTGGCATTAAGTCTGTTTCCACATTTCAGTCCATTTCATGCTAAACTTAAGGTTACTGACAACCACTCTCATTTTTGAAAGACCTTAGCTGCGTAATGGCCTTAGCAGTGAAGCCACAGGGGTTCCTCTCTTTAAAAAGAAACAGGTACAGGGGTTCTTGCCTGAGTTCACATTTGTCTGTGATGACAAAATAACATTAATCTAGTTTAAGGATATTTGCTTGAGTTGATTCCTAGAATCATAGAATGGTTTGGGTTGGAAGGGACCTTAAAGACCATCCAGTTCCAACTCCCCTGCCATGGGCAGGGACACCTTCCACTAGACCAGGTTGCTCAAAGCCTCATCCAGCCTGGCCTTGGACACTTCCAGGGATGGGGCATCCACAGCTTCTCTGGGCAACCTGTCCCAGTGCCTCACCACCCTCTCCATGAAGAACTTCTTCCTGATATCTAATCTAAACCTCCCCACTTTCAATTTAAACCCGTTCCCCCTTGTCCTGTCACTACAGGCCCTTGTAAAAAGTCCCCCCCAGCTTCCTTGTAGCCCCTTCAGGTACTGGAAGGCGCTATAAGGTCTCCCCGGAGCCTTCTCTTCTCCAGGCTGAACAAGCCCAACGCTCTCAGCCTGGCCCCATAGCAGAGGGGCTCCAGCCCTCGGAGCATCTTCGTGGCCTCCTCTGGACTCACTCCAACCGGGCTATATCCTTCTGATGTTGAGGGCTCCACAGCTGGACGCAGCACTCCAGGTGGGGTCACATGAGAGCAGAGAGAGGGAGAATCCCCACCCTCATCCTGCTGCCCACACTGCTCTGGATGCAGCCCAGGATACAGTTGGCTTTCTGGGCTGCCAGCACATAATTGCTGGATTATGTCCAATTATTCATCCACCAATATCCCCAAGTCCTCGGCAGGGCTGCTCTCAATCCCTTCATCACCCAGCCTGTATTGACACCAGGGGTTGTGCTGACCCATGTGCAGGACCTTGCACTTGGCCATGCTGAGCGCCGTGGGGTTCACCTGGACCCACTCCCCCAACCTGCTGAAGCTCTTGCTGAAGTGGCTTTGGTATTCAGCTGCATTTGTTGAGCGTGGAGCTGATACCTGAGCACTAACAAGTCCTCATCTGCTACGGTTATCTCTTTCAGTCAGAAAAGCTGTTGCAAGAATTTAATGTGTCAGTATTTTTCCTTACTTGATAAATCTGTAACTGAAATATCTTGTCTGACACCTCAGTTTTAAGCACGCTGGGAACTGTTAGCTTACTTCTGTCTTTGGGTGGCTAAGTTGTGAGGAAGGATTGGAAGCAGGCAGTCGGGGGAAGCTGTGCTTCATCTGCAGCGTGACGCAACAGTTCGTATCAAGATAAATCACTCATTTCTGAACACCATTGAAGAAACTTTTCTTACTGAACTTCAGTAACTTCAAAGAGATAAAATCACCTCTCTCCCTTTTATTGCCTAGAGATGAAATATGTGTCACTTTGCTGATTTGATCCGTAATAAAAAGTAATTCTGAGAAAATACTTTCCAAGGTACTTTTCTTATCTGTTGGCATTCCTCTTGTCAGGGAAGGCCATAATGCTTCCCATGGCCATTGCTCCACGCGTGGGTGGCGGCAGGGCTCCCTCTCAGTGAGTGCTTACCAGCTGCCCGAGTCTGGTGTTCTCAGTCTAATTCTAACAATTCATAGCTTGTGCGAGGCCGGGATAAATGCTTTCTGTTCCTGTTGAAGCTCATGAAAGGAGAGAAACCAAACTTTTCCAAGGACTACTTTTCAGATGTTGTGTTTGACCAGGTTGCTCAAAGCCACATCCAGCCTGGCCTTGAACACTTCCAGGGATGGGGCATCCACAGCTTCTCTGGGCAACCTGTCCCAGTTCCTCACCACCCTCTCTGTGAAGAATTTCTTCCTGATATCTAATCTAAACCTCCCTGTTTTCAATTTGTACCCATTACTCCTTGTCCTATCACTACAGGCTCTTGTAAAAAGTCCTCTCCCAGTACCCTTGTAGGCCCCCTTCAGATACTGGAAAGCTGCAATGAGGTCTCCTCGGAGCCTCCTCTTCTCCAGGCTGAGCAAGCCCAGTTCTCGCAGCCTTTCGTCATAGCAGAGGTGCTCCAGCCCTCTGATCATCTTCGTGGCCTCCTCTGGACTCGCTCCAACCGGTCAATATCCTTCTGATACTGAGGGCTCCACAGTTGGACGCAGCACTCCAGGTGGGGGCTCACCAGAGCAGAGTACAGGGGCAGAATCACATGATCCTTCCCTTTCTGTGGTCCTTTCCTATAACATCCCATAGTGAGTTCTGTGCAGCCCCCACACCCCCTCCAGATATCCCTTAGCATTCATGGCAACCATGTTTCCTCCTTCTTATCAGTCACAAGATCGAGGCTGACCCTCTCCATCAGTCAGTGCCTGACAGGCTCTGGCCTCTGTTACTATCTCATCACCTGCTCATTAATGCTTGCGTGTCTGTCTGATTTAGCATTTTCCCTGTTATTTGTTATTTCTGTGGTAAGGAAAAGTCCTTCACAAAATAACTTACTGCACCAGCTGCGCTCATCTTTCACACGTCCCCATGCCAACCCGCCCGCGGCAGGCAGCTTGGCTGTGATGTGGAGGGTGACACGGTGTAGAGGCGCCTACTCAGCAGGGCCTGTCCTGCTGCTGCAGATGTCCAGGCAGGTAGCAGCAATAAGGACGTGGAGACAAAGGGAAGGGAATGCCTGAAAACAGGAGGAGGATGGGAGAGGGAGGGGAAAAGGGGCACACGAGTTCAGCTGCATCAGCATTTTGCCAGTGATCACCCAGAGAAGCCTCCTCCCTGGCTGGCAGTAGCTCAGCTCGTGCTGGCTGGGGAAGCAGGATGCAGTCCCAGCATCTCGCTGCAGATGTTCGTTCTGGCTTGGCAGGAGCACCCCAGTGCCTCGGCCAAGGGAAGGTGTCCTGCCTGGCTCGATAAGCTGCTGGCAGCTGCCTGGTTTTGCAGGGGGGATGGAGCAAGAGGCAGGGGGACTGGACACATGGCAGGTTCTTCAGTTTTGCCCAGGGTGTCTAGAGGATGTCAGCAGTGCTATGCTGCCCTGGGGGACATGCTTGTGCCAAATACACGATGTTTTTGAGGGACAGCCAACGCTGGGGTACAAGTGAGAAAGAGCCAGCGAGAGTGCTGTGGGCACTAGGAGATGGGTGCTAGGATGCAGTGCAGGGAGAGATGGGCTGGAGCCAGGCACGCTTCGTGCAGGGATGTGTTGGGCAGTGTTTCTGGAGGAGAGAGCAGGATGGCCCTGCAGATCTGCCTCTTTCCATGGCTCTGGTCTCCTGAAGCTACAGGCAGCGGAGCTCTTGCTCTGTAGCCTTGTTCTGCAGCTGTAGTGTGCAAAGCCTGCTGACTGCTGTCCTCATCTCCCCAACGGATCCTTCTGCAGCTTGTTCGGAAGGAACTTGAGTCGCCGCCCAGAAGAATCCTG